ATTTTTTTTATTTTTTTTTATTTTTTTTATTTTTATTTTTTTTACTTTAACATACAAAAAAAAAAAAAACTATTTGAAGCAATTTGTCAATGGGCGAAAACGCAACTAGCCAAAGCCAAAGCATAAATAAAAAATAAAGCACCAAGTGTCAGGCGAAAACAAACTGCCCAAAAGCCCAGCACCTGACCAGGCCAGAACGCAAGCCCTGTTTGGCCATGTCTGCGGCTTGCATATGTGTGTGTGAGTATCTCTGTGTGTGTGGGTGTGTTTCGCTTTTAAGCTGCCAAATCCGACAATTAAATTATTGCATGACAAAACATGCGCCGCAAAAATATTCAAAACGCGCCAAAAACAGGATGTAAACAACAACGGACATAAGGACGATGAGCCAAACCATACGAGAAAAAAAAAAAAACAAACACCCACCCACACACACACACATGTGTACAACTATGCGCTCAACTACTATGCAAAGGAAAAAATACTTCCCGAACCGAAACAAATTCATCTTCCGCAAAAAGAGTAGCAGAAAAAGCACACAAGCTGAGAAAAATAATAAAAATAGAAAAATGAAAACACACACAGGCACACACACACACACACACGGGGCTAGGAAAATGTCCCAATAGGATGTAGGGAAAGCGTCACAGGCTACCGGAAAATGACGCGTTAGAAAAACAACAACAGAAACTTGAAAATAGGAAGAAAAAAAATAAAAAGAAAAAAATGAAAATACAAAGAGGAAAATACAAAATATATAAGAGCTAAAAAATTGTTTTATGAATGCTGAATACTGAATACCCTTAATAAGATTATCAAGCTTCTGACCACGTCGTAAATTATTTCCGTTAATTCAGCTAATTTGTAAAATATTATAGTGCTAACATAATAAATTAATAAATTATGAATTAGTAATCTAAACATAAAAAAAATACAAATTTTAAAATTAATAAAGAGAAAGCGAAGTCACAAATGGAAATAAAATAAATTTTAATACCTTTTAATGGTATTAACAAAATTAATACATTTTTTTTTTAATTTTTAATTTTTTTTAATTTTAATTTTAATCAAAAAATGAGTACATATATTTTAAATTTTTATTTTGATAATGTATATATTATTTGGATTTTTATTTCAGCTTAAAAAAAAAGGAATATGAATATGAATATGAAAAAAAATTTATTATTTAAAGCTTTTTTTTTATATATTTTTATTTTATTTTATTTTATTTATTTATTTATTTATTTTTTTTTATATAAAAATTACAATTTTTCCAGCAGCTAAAGCTTTGCAGCAAATTGTGTAAAATGACTCGAGTGATAAATTTAAGCCTAGACTGTCCCAAAATTTAAGTACCCAAAGTTTAGACAAAAAAGAAAATAAAATAAAATCTCTTATGTTAATAAATATTTAATAGAATTAAAAATAATTGTAATTTTATTTTAGTATTTAGTTAATTCAGAGATACTTAATGTGGTCTTTGGTGATATTGGAGCCACTTTTCTATCCAAAAAATGTATCCACCCAGTGCAAAGTCCTGTCTTGGCTTATCTGCGTCCTGCAACGACTCTTTGATTCCCGAAATTTATGTACGCACTGCCAAGGCCTCTATCGTTGCGAAGAGTATTGAAAGTACTGAAGCGAGCCAAGCAAAGCAGTCGCTGTGGGTCCTGGCTGTGGCCAGGCTTGTCTGACATGCATATATACATATAGCCCGGGGCAATAATTTGAAATTCGATTACCATAACCAAGTACTCGGAAAACACAAACAGCTAACGGGCTGCACGGAGGAAAATGGGCGATGCACGTGAAAAGCCAAGAAAAACAAAATGTATTACTGCGGCCTACGCTCGGCGACTCTTTCTGTGTGTGTGTGTGTGTGTGAGAGTTTTTGTGTGTTGAAAAAAAAAAAACACGAAGTGAAAATGGTGAAAACGTTCGTTAAAGACTGCCGGAGAGTCAGAGCGTTGGGCATCGCGGCCAAAAACTGTGGCCAAAAAGCCAAAAAACTTGAATATATCAGAATTTTTGAGCAAACAAGTCGCAAAAAAGTGAATGACAAAAAAAGTGTGTGTGTGCCCCAAACTATGACAGACTAAACACACACACACACACACGCACGTGTGCTTGGACAGTGACGCCAAATACCGTTGTTGGCCAAGTGAAAAGCCGCCATCCGCCTTTTAACCCAAACCCAAACTTCACTCGAGTCAAAAAGGTTCTTTGACTACCACTGAGGGTGGTGCAGTTAGTTCGGGTGGTTGTGGTGGTTGGGTTGCCGATGTTTGATAATTTGCGAAATGGATTTGAAAACAGCACAGAGTGAAGTGGGCATGCCGCCTGATCAAATTGCAATCGATTTGAGTGTGACCGTATTCTCATTCACCTTTCAATGCTGTTCTATTTCATTTAAGATATTCGACTGAGGCCTAAGACAATTCAAAATTGAAAGTCCTATTGAAGAACCAACCTATAGAATGAGACTTCATTTGGAATATAGCTGACTAAAAATGGAGCAGCCAATCGAAAGTAAAAGCAATTTAACCAAACCCGAACCGGGAGTAAGCTTATGTAAGTTATTAAGTCAGTGCCAGCAGCAATCAGCTGGAAAGTCATGAATATTGAGTGCTCTGGTGTAGAAAACTGTAACCTAATAAGCAATGCAATTAACTGCACCACTGCAATATCACCTGCAGTTGCGAACCGTTGCACTATAATTAATAATCAACGGCAGCTTAAAGATTTTAATTAAAATCAACAACAGACGCGTGCGAGTCCAGAATACGGGTGTACGGGGCTAGAAGGGTGTACGGGTGGGAGTTTGTACGGGTAGAGGGGCGTAAGGGTAGAGTGGTGTACGGGTAAACGGGTGTCAGAGTGTACGGGTGCACGGGTAAATGGGCGTACGGGTATACAACTGTACGGGCGTACGGGTATACGGAAGTCCGTTTGCTTCTCCTTTTGCGTCTCCTTTGCGTCTCCATTCGCTCGCAAGTCTCATGTTGTCAACGCCGTGGCAACGGTCGTTCGATTTCTTTTCATTTAGCCACAGTGTGAGCTGCATTGAAACGCAGCTCTGGACGCTGCCCTCCCCACTTAACCCATAATACCCTGTGCTCCGTACCGTTATCTGCTGTGGCTGGTAGTCCCTTTCGGCTCACCCCACGCTGGGTTTCTCTGCTCAAGGCTTACAGCTGAGAGGATTCAAGAGAATTGTGCAATTATTCAGCTGGTTCGTGGAATCACATTGCGAATTTTAGGAGCTGAACATGCAGGCATCTGTTGCCATGCAACCGTTGAAATACAGTTCAGCCAGTTGCATCAATGCTAAGAGAAATGCGATTGAGGAGGATCAATTGACCACACTTGAATTAAGCCTAGGAAATGAGCATATGAATCTAATCCAAGTCGAGGCCTGATTGACATAATAGTGGATGCATGTATTCACATCTAAGCTGGAGTTTTCTTGACGGGAGTGCACAACTAGAAGATACCCTACATCATTTCAGTAGAATATGATTATAGCGACACTCAAGGGACCGTCTTAAATACCCGGCAGGCGCCATAACCGTATAAGTTTGCTCATAAAAGTTTATCTGGGTAATTTTCGTCTCTATAACCGTACAGACGCTATAAGCGGAATCGCTATAACCAGATTTTACTGTATATGCTGATGACCAAAGCACAACTTTTTCATCTTCCATTGGAAGGAAGAAAGATATACAAAAAGGTTTAATATCTAGCATTAAAGTAAACAGTATAATTTTGAAGTGGAAGCCTGCCTAGATGTGGATTTCCTGATTTTCAAAGAGTTGAACAGGTGTAGATCAACCGGAGTTATTGATCCGGATCACATATATTTTCTGCCACCTTCTTCCGCTTTACATTTTAGGCAGATTTTGCTTCACAGAAACTATATGTAGAACTACTAAAATAAACTTAAAATTAAAATACAAAATAATAAAAATTCAGATAATAATAAATAAACATCAAGACAAATCGGAAATCATAAAGCTTTTATCTATTTATGCATATATTTCCTAAGCCTTACAGTTTAGTATGTGCAGGGTATTTGGTAGTCGGTCACAGGCGATCGTTTTATTCTGTATTATTTTGCAACTTTGCCAAGTTTCAGTTTCAGTTGCAATTACTTGGCGCACCTGAAGTGGAAGTTGGGCCAAAGGTTAGCGACGATTTGTTTGTGTTTGTTGTTGTGGCTCGCTGTCTCTCTGCACGCGTGTGTGTGTGTGTGTGTGTGTGTGTGGACAACGGTTTTAAGTTTGCACCAGTGCCCCGCCCAATTGCATCAAGAATTTTCCTCCATTTTTTCCGTATATTTTTCGCATTTTTGTTGACTTTGCGCTTTCTATTTACGCTTTGCTGTTGTTTGTTGAATTCCAACTGCAATTATGTGAATTTTTACCGTGCACAGCATAAAACAATTTTACCCGCCCGCTCTCCACACAAGGATCTGTCTTGCTTACAGTTACACGAGAAATCGTTTCATAGAAATAATATAAGTTAGCCAGCAGCTGCCGCAGGCGGGCAACTTCTGGTCAAGCTCAAAGTTAAACACCTAAGCGAAACTCAGCTCTGGCCCAGAGACTGGCCAATAAAAGGAGTAGAGAGTGGAGGGTCGAGAGGGTCGAGAGTAGAGGGCAGATCCATTAAACTGAATGAATTGATTGCCATTTATTGGCCTAAAAGAAATAAATCAAATGCCAAATCTTACGCATTTAAATAAATAATAATATATATCTCTCTTTATATTCATATTTATATTAAATATATTTTTATATTTAATATATATTTATATTATAATAATAAATAATATTTTTCTTTATATTCATATTTATATTTAATTTAATTTTATTTTAATTTATTTATTTTTTTTTCATTTATTATTTCGACATTTTCTAGTAGGCTTTGATATCGAAATAAAAGCCTGAAGCCTCTTCAAGCTCATGTATAGCTTCAGTTTCGTATTAGATTTAGCGCACATCACACAGCTGAAATATTTTATTATTATTTTTTTTTTTTTACAACATTTTTAGAGTGTAGTGTATTTTTCAATTATTTCTAAACTCAATTTTTTTTCAAGAAGAAATAGTTGAAGACGTGGGTGGCACAATGGCATCGAATGCTGGTAGCAACAGGAGCAAGGGCAGCAAGAACAAGCGCGACATTGGCCAAGCAAATAGCTGCGAAGCCAACGAGCAGGTGAGTGAATCGAACTTGGGCTGTGACTAACTGTGCTGTAAGCGGAAACCGTTATAGGAGAATCGCGTTGAGAAGGTGCCAGAGGCCGTAGGTGCTGATGGGCAGCAGGAAGCGAATGTCACTGATCAGACCGGCACCCAGACAGAGCAGCAGCCGGAGCATGTGAAGGTGCCCAAGAAGAAACCGAAGCGCGGCAAGGCCGGCAGGAAGGCGCGCGTGCGTGGCAAGAAGGAACTGAAGAAAAGCGTCATACGGCGCATGTGCCGCATTCCGTCGGAGGACGGCAGCCGGGTGGACAATCGCGATGCCGAGATCATGTACACCAACTCGCAGTTCGGCCAGTCGACACAAGCGTGCAATCGTTCCTCGTGTCAAGTATGCGCACTGGCACCGCGTCGTCGCATCAGGATCAGGGCCCTGGCCACCGCTGCGGCCAAGGCCAAGTCCAAGACGAAGCGCTTGATGCCCTTGGCCAAGCGTCGGACAACTGCCAAGGTGGGCCGTCCGCGCAAGTCTGCATCGGCTCGCCAGGCTGCATCGTCTCGCCAAGCTGCATCGGCGCGCAAGGCTGCATCTTCTCGCAAGTCGGCATCGGTTCGGCCCTCGGGTGCTGGGTCCATATCTAATTTGGATCCCGCATGCCCAGTGTCTTTGACAGGCCCCCAGGGGGTGGGCCCCACTCGTCAGTGCCTGTGCACCGAGCTGAACGGCCAGGTCTACAAGCTGATGGACCTGCCAGCCAGCATTGACTGCAGCAGCGCCTTGATGTTCTCCTTGCGTCGCCAGCAACTGATGCGCCAGTCGAAGCCTCGACTTAACACCAAACGCCAAGTTGGCAAACATCCCACCAGTAGCCAAAAGCTCAGCAAGCAAGACCCTAACTAAGCCCAACAAAATATATCCACGAGTTTATTTCATGCTAAATATTTCGAAAGGTAACTAAGTTAGCCTAAGATATCATCTCACTATATTTAATACCCATCTATCTCTCTCTTTCTCTCGACAGTATAGTATGGCCTGATATGGATATTTGTATTAAGCATTTCATACTTTTGTACTGATTTCAAGATATGTTGAATAAATTCCACCTAACAGGTCAACAAAGCAAAACAAAACAACTGACGTTCAGATTCTTTTGTGAATGGTAGTTCAATGGGTATAATGTAGGTTAACAGCCAAATGAGGCGTGTTCGACACACCTTGAAAGAATTTTAGCTTTCCTGCAATTTATTCAAGCTGTACACAAATTTTGAAAATAATTTTGCATATGCTGCCAATTTTAGTTCTATAGTTTATATAGTTTTTAGTTATAGTAGATCGTAAGAAAGTAAGCAGAGATATATTTATAAATATTATACATATAAAATGAAATTGAATACAATTTCTAGTATAATATTTCTTAGAAATGTATATAAAATATAAATATATATATTTAATATATGTAAATATTTAAATAAATATTAGACTATAGATTGCTGCTCATATAAAATAAAATTGTCTGCAAAAAATATGTATATACAAATAGAAACTTTTTTCATCATATATATGTCTATATATATATATATATATATATATATATATATACTATGAGTATATATGTGTGTTCACTTCCGGTGCGACACATCCGGACGTCACGTAGTAGACTCAGTTTGCTTTGAGTTTTCAGTTACAAGATTTCGCCCGGCACAGCAATCTCCACATAAAAGCGAATGCTGGACAGTTGCTGAGTTGAGTTTCAATTTTCACTTAAAACAAAGTTTGCACATGCCAAAAAAGAAACAGAAAATAAAACAAACACACAACCAGCGAGGAGGGTTATTACGGGCCAGAGCAAAGCCAAGGCAAAAAAAAAAAAAAAACCAACTGCACACTAGGATTTTTTTTTTTTTTTTTTGGGGGGGGCGCTCAGGCGTTAACAGAGCGCGCCTAACATTGTTTTTCGTTTTCGTTGTTGTTGTTTGTAATCAGAGCAAAGTAGCGATGGCAGACACATGGCCCACGCCCCTCAGCCCTTCCCTCAGGCGGGGAACACCTTTGGGCGAGGACTTACGTGATTTGGCCAGCGCGTTTGCCATTGCAGCAAATCACAGCTCGAGTCAAGGCAACTGCAGCAAATAACAACAACAAAAACAACAATAGAATACAAGTTGGATAAACCATAATCAGCATGGCCGACAATGAAATACCCTTGCAGGCGCAGCTTTCAGTTAAAGAAAAATTTTGTAATTTTGTAAAAAAAAATTGATATAACTATAAAAATATTAAAATATATTTAAAAAAAAAATATATATATATATGTATAAAATATGTATATAATTTTTTATAAAAACTTATAAACCATCTTCAAATCTATTTAGTTTGAATCAATTAAAATTAAAATCAATTGTACTATCCAGCCACTAAATATCATTAAATAATATAACTATACAAATATTTAAATATATTTTATTTTTTTATTTTTATGTATATAATTTTTATATAAAAATTTATAAATACCTTCAAATATATGTAAATCTAATCAATTAAAATCAATTGCTCAATCAAGCTGATAAATATAATCAATTTATATTCCAAATAGATAAATGTTACTGCAAATATTTCAGCATATTCTCATATCAAACATAAAATCTATGTTCAGCAATACCCCTTAAAAACAATCACATTGTATGGATGGGTATACCCGCTGTGTACAGTCTCTGTGCTAAAATGAGCAGCCAAATTGTTGTATGGTTAGCGTTTGTCCTGATGATCAACACGAAAGCAAATAAAATAAGCTAAAAGTTTGTGGCTCACGTGACATTTGTTTTGGCAACAGTTTCCTCTCATTGCTTCATTGCTGGCAATCGAAAGAACGTACCTGCAATGCACAACAAAGAACTTGATTTTAGCTAAAATCAAAACAACAACAACAACAGGTTGCTTATAAATAAGAGAGCAAAAATATATAGAAACATGTATCTGAAAAAGAAAATAAATAATAATGTAAGATTTACCGACTGTTTTATACTCGCTTTCATTTGATTTAGTTTTATTTATTTGTTTTAATTCTTGTTCATTTAAGCCTCAGCTTATTATTAAGAGTAAGACCAGTTGCTGCCTCTCCCTCTTTGACTCTCAGCTGTGATTTTATATGTGTTCGGCGCAGCAGCTAATAATTGCTCTTAATAGTTAAATAAGCTTCTCTTAAGTTAATCTCTTTCCTTTGTCATTCTCATTCGCTGTTAGTGCACTCTTGCACATAACAAAGCATAACACACATACATATGTAAATCTCATCCGCTCTGTTAATTGCATACTCCTCTTTATTTATATTCTTTTAAACTCTGTACGAAAATAGTCTTCATTCGCGCAACACCTACAAACTTGTCACCCTCGCATCGAAATAACTTTGCCTAAACAGTGTCCACAGACTCGGCATTAAATTAATAAATAATAAGCTAAATTATATCGTTTTGGTTTTATTTTTTTTGCCTTCGTAAATGATTGGAGCCAGAGTTGTCGAAAAAGCTCGACAGCTTCAAACATTTTGGTGACCCCGACGTGATTTCTAATACACTCTGTGGTGCTCGCTTAGCGCGTTAAACGTTATTACACCATCTTGGCGTCGCTCATCAGTGAAATTTACAAAACATTTGTGCAAGATAGTGCATTCAAATTATCAATTTCATTGTGACACAACCTTGTAAAACATTTAACATTTCGTTCGAACTGCTTATATGTATGTGTACGCAATTGTCTTGAGTTTCTTGCATCCTCTTTTAATTGCCGTTTCGTTCGTCGCGGTTGGCGCTTTCTCAGCTGCATCTGCATAGAAAGCGCGCAAACCTAAAAAGCTGTGTCAATCGTAGAAGACACACACACACACACACATACATAAATCAAAGCTCAGATAATCTGCATGCAGTGGCTTTGCATTCTGATTATCTTTATCATTTTTTCTTTCGTCCGTGGATCATCGCGTTTAGCGCCTTTTATGTAGCGTCTGCACAGCTATTCCGAAAATAGTTGTCTCGATCACACACGTACATACATATGTATATACGTACAGTGGGCTTGCATATAAAATGTGCAGATAAATTATATGTGCATAAGTGGAACTATTAGCTTGTACATTAACTTTGCAATTGCAAGTGTTCTTTCAAAAGTGAACATAAAACAAATAAATTTGTGGCTAAAATGAATAATTTAGAATCGAGTGCTGATCAAGTTCCTGCATCTCAGGTCACTTATCTAAAGCGTAAAACGAAAGCGCTGTTCGATAGACTCGAAAGACTATATGCCGAATCAGACGCGGACAAATTAAGCCATATGGATTCGTGTGATTTACGTGTACTTTTGGACTCAATCACCAAATTAGAGTCAAATTTCGATGCGGTTCACACGAACTTAGAAGAATCAGATTTTGAGTCCATATCCAGTGATTTACCTGCGAAATTTGAATCAATTCTACTGAAGTTTAAGGCCCTGCTTCAACGTGAACTGGGAAGTCGGCCAAATCAACAGTTTTCTTCGACACTTAATACAAGCTTTACAAATGCTAATCCAGTGCTCATTATGTCAAATCGGTCGCGTTTGCCGCAGTTGGAATTGCCAAAATTTAGTGGAATCTATACTGAGTGGGAAAACTTTTTCTCTATGTTCAAAACGATCATAGATGCTGACTCTGAGCTCAGCCCTATTGAGAAGCTCCAACATCTTCGGTCCTGCTTAAGTGGTGCTGCGCTGGATACCATCGGCTCATTGGAAATAAATAGGGCTAACTATAGCGTCGCTCTGGATATTCTTCAACGTCGATTTGATAATAAACGTTTTATTTTACAGGCACACATCAGAGCGATATTTGGGCTTGAGAAGGCAGATTCATCTGTGGGTAGACTGAGGCAGTTGGCGGATAAGGTTACATCTCACATTCGTGCTATGGATTCTCTTGCATCGAGGGAAGAAGTCGCTGATTGTATCATCGTGCAAACAGTGTTGCAGAAATTGGACAAATGCACTCAGGCCAAATGGGAGGAACGATCATCAGCAAATGAGTTACCGTCGTGGGCCAAGTTGTCAACGTTCTTGCAAGAGCGGTGTCGAATGCTTGAAAATGTGGATCAAGTTTTGCAGGATGGTCAGGTTGGCAAGTCAGGGAAGATCGTGAGTACATATTTAAGAAAATCATTTGTTGCTTCCAAAGCTCCCAGTCGTTGTGTCTTTTGCGAAGACACGAGCCACATGATATTTCAATGTAAGCGTTTTGAGCAATTGCCACCCATTGCACGACATAAGGAGGCCAAGAGACTCGCTCTGTGCCTAAATTGCCTAAGAAAGGGGCATCAGCTGAAAGATTGCAAATCTAGTACCTGCCGCACTTGTCAATCGAAGCACCATACCTTATTGCATTACAATCAATCTTCAGTAGATACATCCAACACTGTCCAACAAACAAATGCAATACATTCCTCTGCTATGGTTGCAATGTCACCTTCTTTGCCTCAAGCCCATCTGTCGCCTCATTCGTCTGATGTTGTGCTTCTAGCCACTGCTATAATCCTTGTTAAGAATCGAGCTGGAACATTCGTTCCGTGTCGTGTACTCTTAGATTCAGGATCTCAACTTCACTTTGTTACCACGCAATTCGCTAATCAGCTTCAGCTCCGAAAAAGAAAGTCGCTTAGTGCAGTTTCTGGCATTGGAGATGCTAGCTTCTCAACTGAAGGATATTCAGTCGATCTCGTTCTGAAATCGCGGATTTCAGATTACTCAACTACCATCAGCGCAATCATCGCCAAGACGATTACTGATAATCAGCCTGGAATTTCAATGTCTACTAATAGTTGGAACATACCCTCAAACATAAAGTTAGCTGATCCCTTATTTTATAAGTCACAGCGAATTGATCTTCTCATCGGAGCTGGTCTTTTCTTTGAGCTGTTGTGTATTGGGCAAATTATGTTGGCACCTGGGTTGCCAGTTTTGCAGAAAACTCAACTCGGCTGGATCATATCAGGTGGCGGGCAATCGGCCCCCAAACTCTCATCGTTCATCGTAACTCAAAGAGCTTCCGATGATACCAATCTCAGCACTCGGCTTGATGATTTGGTTCGTCAATTTTGGGAAGTGGAGCACGTTTTCGAGCCTATCGCCAAGGTAACAACAGAGGAGCTCCACTGTCAGCAGCATTTCATCACAACTCATCGTCGATTGTCTTCAGGGGAATACTTAGTCTGCTTGCTTCGAATCTTTGGGCGACTCTTATGTGCAGGCCAAGCGTCGGCTCTTAAATTTGGAGCGTAAGTTTGCTCGAAATTATGCTATGAAGGAAAAATACTCTGCATTTATGAAAGAATATATTGATCTCGGCCATATGTCACCGGTGCTCAGCGCAGAGATTTCTAAATGCAAATACTTCTTGCCTCATCATTGTGTATACAAGGAAGAAAGTTCGACAACAAAGCTGAGAGTGGTATTCGACGGTTCGGCTGTTACCACATCTGGGCTTTCATTAAATGATATTCTTATGTCAGGACCGACCATACAAGCCACATTGTTTCACACACTCGTTCGTTTCCGCACATTTTCCATTGCACTTACAGGTGATATTAGTAAAATGTATAGGTGTGTGAAGGTTTCAGAGCCTGATGCAATGCTTCAATGTATCTTATGGCGAAACTCATCAGACGACGACATTCTAGTCTTCAAATTGAATACCGTCACTTATGGGACCAAGCCCGCTTCTTTTTTGGCTATTCGTGCAATGCACCAATTAGCAATGGATGAGTCGTCATCATACCCCCTAGGAGCTAAAACTGTTTTGCGAGATTTCTATGTTGACGATCTGATCTCAGGAGGCAATTCAGTTGAAGAAGTTCGCGACATAATGGAACAAACTAAAAATCTTCTTGAGCGAGGCAACTTCAAATTGAGAAAATGGTGCTCAAACTCAATCAACATTCTTCGCGGAGTTCCAGAAATCGAGCAGGAGAGTTTTCTCAAACTCGGCGATGGGACCGATGTGACAAAAACTCTTGGACTCATCTGGGAGCCTCGAAAGGATAGCTTCGTATTCACTTTCGAGCCCAAAATTAGTGTTGGAAAACACACAAAACGTTCAGTTCTGTCAACCATTGCGCGATGCTACGATCCGTTAGGTTTGATCGGACCAACATTAACTAGGGCAAAAATCATCTTGCAACGCATGTGGAGAGACAAGCTACAATGGGATGAGAGTCTACCACAATCATTGGAAACGATTTGGAGCGAATTTTGTAAGGACTTTCATCAAGTGAGCAATGCAACCTTTCCTCGTTATGTACTCGAACTTAAAGCAAGAGTTGAATTACATGCCTTCTGCGATGCTAGCCTTCAGGCCTATGGCTCTTGTGTTTATGTTCGGTCATCGAAGAATAATGCTGTTAAAGTGCATCTACTCTGTTCCAAGGCTAGAGTCGCCCCACTAAAGACCCTCACTGTGCCTAAGCTTGAGTTATGCGCTGCATTTCTGCTTGCGAACTTGATAAGCGAGATAGAGAAACTGAACTTGTTCAAATGTGAGATGCATTGCTGGTCAGATTCAGCGGTGGTCTTGTCTTGGCTAAAGGAAGAGCCATCCAAATTCAATGTTTTTGTTGCTAACAAGGTTTGTGCCATACAGCAGCTCACAATCGGCATGGAGTGGCATTACGTGCCCACTGAGATGAATCCTGCAGATATGTTATCTAAAGGAGCAGCACCGTTAGAGCTCTTGCACTCGAAATTATGGATGCATGGACCTTCTTTTTTGCAAGAGGAAAAATGTTATTGGCCTAGGCACTGCTTGCCTGAAGCATGCTTGCCTGAAATGCGTCAAAGAGTCTTGCTGTCGGCAGAGCATGTGGACATCTCTTTGTCATTCAAGTACATAAATTCATTCGGAATAATGAAGCGAATCTTTGGTTATGTTCATAAATTCATCCGGAAAATAAAATCACCTGAGTTATCATCGGATGATCTGCGTCAAGGATCGTTCCTATTATGTCGTCTTGCTCAAAGAGCTCAGTTGCAACCGGAATACTCTGCCCTACAGAATGGAAGGAATATACACTCGTCAAGCGCCATTCTTTCGCTATTTCCGTTTATGGATGATTTTGGTCTACTAAGAGTTGGTGGTCGTTTGGGGCATTCTACTCTCGGCTTCGATGCGCGTCACCCAATTATTTTACCCAAAAACCATCCCTTAACCTTCGCTATAATATCCCATTTTCATCAAATGCATCACCACGCCGGACCGCAGGCTTTGCTTGCAGCTATTCGATTGCAGTTTTGGCCCATAGGCGGCATGAAAACTGTTGCCCGAGAATTGCGAAAATGCATAATTTGCTGCAGATCCCGGCCTCGCCTAGTTGAGCATATAATGGCAGACTTGCCTAAGGAGCGTGCACAGTGCTCACCGGCATTCACAATCACTGGAGTTGACTATTGTGGACCTTTTTATTACAAGCCCGATGGACGAAATAGAGCATCAGTAAAATGCTACGTCTGCGTGTTCGTTTGTTTCACAACCAAGGCTGTATGGCTGGAGCTTGCAAAGGATCTGTCAACAGCTGCCTTTTTGGGCGCCCTCAAGCGTTTCGTCAGTACGCGCGGCATTCCAACATGCATCTGGTCAGACAACGCAACCAACTTTGTGGGTGCACGGAACGAGTTGGCGGATCTGAGGCGTTTATTTTTGAGCCAGGAACATCGTACTGAAGTTCACAACTACTGCATCAACAACAGCTTCGATTGGAAATTCATACCTCCTCGTTCGCCACATTTTGGCGGTCTTTGGGAGGCAGCAGTGAAGACAGCTAAAAGGCACCTATATCGGTCTATGGGATCGGCACTTCTTGGTTTCGATGAACTGCGCACATTGGTGTGCCAAATTCAGGCTATAATCAATTCTCGTCCTCTTGTTCCAATTTCAGAAAACCCTGATGATCTTGGAGTTCTCACTCCAGGGCATTTCCTGATTGGTCGACCACTTATCGACTTCCCCGAACCAGATCTATCTCGGATTAACTGCAATCGCCTCGATCGCTGGCAGCGTATGACATACATACAGCAGTTGTTTTGGAAGCGATGGAGTGAGGAATACCTCACAATTCTGCAACAGCGAGTAAAATGGCGGACCCCACGGCCTTCTATCAAGGTCAACGATGTCGTCTGTGTAAAAGACGAAAACCTGCCACCTTTGAAGTGGCCATTAGCCCGGGTCGTTGAAATCATCGCTGGAGCCGATGGAGCCGTGAGAGTCGCTGTTCTGCGTACACCCACTGGAACTACACGTCGAGCTGTCAATAAGCTGTGCGTCCTTCCGGTTGATGATCCTGTTAAAAGTCATGGTCTTTTAACGGTGGGGAGGATGTTCGGCGCAGCAGCTAATAATTGCTCTTAATAGTTAAATAAGCTTCTCTTAAGTTAATCTCTTTCCTTTGTCATTCTCATTCGCTGTTAGTGCACTCTTGCACATAACAAAGCATAACACACATACATATGTAAATCTCATCCGCTCTGTTAATTGCATACTCCTCTTTATTTATATTCTTTTAAACTCTGTACGAAAATAGTCTTCATTCGCGCAACACCTACAAACTTGTCACCCTCGCATCGAAATAACTTTGCCTAAACAGTGTCCACAGACTCGGCATTAAATTAATAAATAATAAGCTAAATTATATCGTTTTGGTTTTATTTTTTTGCCTTCGTAAATGATTGGAGCCAGAGTTGTCGAAAAAGCTCGACAGCTTCAAACAATATGTAATGATCATATTTTGTATAATACTCAGAGCAATCATTGAGCAATATGTGAAAATGAAATATGATCTGCCTCAATTTGTTCATACTTTGAGTGTTGATCCACCAAATGAATTCACGCTGAATTCCGGGAATACATTGTCATCTGAATAGGTTTCTATATCATATAATTTTGAATGGAAATAAATATGATTCGCCTACGTTTGCAATCAAGTAAAAACTTCTTGATTATTGTAGCTTTGTTAAGAAAATAAATAAAAATTTTAAATTCATATAAAATAAAAAATGATAATATTATAATACAATATTACAAAAAATAAACAAGTAAGAAGGCTCTAGTCGAGACTGCTCGACTAGGAGATACCCTGAACCCTCCAAGCTGATATTCTAATCAGTCTGGACTTCTTTTATGCACACATACATACACATGCACTTATAAGCACGCGCTCTGCTTACTGCGCAGTTAGCAGCGGCAGCGCTTGGGCTGCGCTGCAATATGATACAACATTATTTGTTGAATAATTTCTTTTGTAGACATACAATCTTAATGAAACTTTCAGAGCGTAAGCATATGGTTAAAATGTGTGTACATTCCAAAGCACAAGTCTCTAGTACTTGAAATGCGTTTTTTACAAATTTGGGGCGAAGGGGGCGTGGTATCCAAAATCTGTAAATTACAAAATCTTTGTGTCCATTAACTCTATATACAACGCAAATTTGAAGTCTCCAGGTTTAAAAGTGTTCAAACTAGGCTGAAAAAACCAAGTCGATTTTTCGAATATTCTCGATAAAAAAGTTATCGGATGAGTTATCGAAAAAATAAAGCAAACTCGTACTGCCTATGGTATACACGAGTATGCATGCCAAATTTCAGCTCTCTAGCTCTTATAACTTCTGAGATCCTTTTGCTCATACGGACGGACGGACGGACGGAGGGACGGACGGACGGACGGACGGACAGACGGACAGGGCTATATCGACTCAGCTCGTCGTGCTGATCAAGAATATATATACTTTATGGGGTCTGCGATGATTCGTTCTGCCTGTTACATACTTTTCACAAAACCATTATACCCTGATTTCCCATTTTCAATGGGTTCAGGGTATAAAAAAAGGGTATTTAATTGTTGTTTGTTTTAATGCATTTTATTATTTATTTGATTTCAGTGGGCTTACAAGACTTTTGATGCTCCTTTACAAATTATATCGCCACAGTTTTCACCTTATCGTGAAATTTATTTTATAAATTTCTATTTCCTTTTTTGTCCATGTCGTGGTCAAGGAATTATTTTGATAAACATGGAAACATTTCGATGCCACAAACACTTTACCAGTGAGGCTCATGTCTACCGAAATTATAGCCATAGCCGAACCACGCTTCAGGACTGCTAGTGGGGGGTCTTTGGGGTGGTGTATGGGTGGCGTAGTCCGCTGCTGATCCTGGCTTTGGTGTTGCAGATGCAACTGACCCACTACCTCCCGCTGTATTCTTATTGAATACCGAATCCCACCATCTTTTGATCGTTCCACGCTCGGGCTTTAATTCGTATTTAGCTCGGCGGCATTCGTTCAACCGTACATTCATGACATATCCATACGGGCACCTGGCCGTACGCTGAACTATATCTGGCACGCAACTGTTCGACTGAGGGCTCCAGGAAAAGCCCGGAGCACATTCATTCAAGGACCTATCCATTTCATCCACAAATCTCTGCTCCAAGTCTAACGCCGATGCGCCTCGCGGCAGCAAGAGGCCCTCATTCGGCAACAGAATGTGGGGCAACGCTGCAGCCAATTCCGTATTTTCCACCATTGCGAGATAACTGATATGGCTCTGGTGCAACGCCCTATATATATAGACCTAATTTTGATGCCTGACCGTAATCAATGTACTTATCCATTGCAAATTTCCCCCATCGAAACGTAAATAACGTATATAGAGCATATTAGAGCTATCATGTAAGATGGTCGGCCAACGGCAAGAGACAATTTCCAAATTGGAGAATTTATTAAATCAAAATCATTCAAAATCAACGGGCGGCTCTCGATTTTCGATTAATTGAGAAGCAAGTAAAAATTATCATTCTAGATCTAATTTGTAATCAAAGTAAAGCCTAATCTGATCTGATCTTTCAGTTAAATGTTCCATGGATTGATATAGTGTAATACGATTTCGTTCTTATTAGGCTGTCAAGTCAAACGTCGCAATAGAGGATATTTCATATTAGGCATGCAAGGCAAATCATATTTAGCTGGAAATCGAAATGCATTCGCCACGGTCTGGCAGAGTTTGTAAAAAAGTCACAAGGGCATACACATTTATATTTATATACAATAAAAAAAAAAAAAAAAATATATATATATATAGATATAGATAGATAGATAGATAGAGAGATAGAAAGATATAGAGAGATAGAAAGAGAGATATATAGAATGATAGATATATAGATACACATATATAGATGGATAGAGTAGTCTTCCTATAGCTTGTCTATCCAAATACAACAATTATGTATTATTTGTGTTGCATTATCTGGAAGAATTCTTTAAGCCACACACTGCCAATTTTTCGATTTTAGCTGTAATTTGTATTGATGCTCTTCTGGCAGACATTCGAAGCAGTCTCTTCTCTGCTAGACTATTTACTACTATTCACTACTACTACTACTACATCTACTGCTACAGAGCCACACATGTTTCTATGCTAGACTCGTTTTTCGTTGTTCTGGAATTCTACATACCGCGAGTTGTGAAGGTGTTTAAAGTCTGCCCGATTTTGTTGGCAGCCATAAATTCAATTTTCTGGCTAAATAATCGCTGTAATTAAGAGATACCCACATGCAGATACATCGGCACCCACCCCACACACACACACACACACATACACCACAACTAAATCAAACAGACAATATGCCATTACGACTCTTGAATATGCCCATTACGGGGGCCTCAACATTTAGCCGAAGGGTCGGAGTAGCGTGAAAAATACCTGCAAAAATGTTCGCATGCCATTAAATTCGGCAAGCAGCGCGTTAATGGCTCTCGGCTGAGTGCGTGTGTGTGCGTTTTGCTGGTGTTGGGCAACAGGATGCTTGACTGAGCTGGCATTTCATCATTGCCTTTGCCAGCCAGCGTTTAATGAGTGAAATGAAGTAGACTACTTGTCAAATGCAAACTGAACGACGAACTGCGAGTTTTAGCTGATGGCGTGGGCGCCACTTCAATTGGCCGAATGTGCAACAGTTGTATATAAAGGCCTAAGATATCGACATTCAATTTCGTATTAGGAATTTTCAATTTATTAAACTGCATTAAATGTGGCACAATGAAATTGAAAAGTCAACGCAAATCAGTTGGCAAAGTTTGGCTAGCTGACAGAAAGTGGGTATTAAAGAGTTTTTCAACGAAAGCCGCTGGAAGAGCATTGACACCTGCCCAAAGGATACTAACGTCCTTTGCCGGCTTTCAGTGTACAGTTACTTGGCAAAAGTTGGCTCCAACCTTTGCCCAATTGTTTGTTTGCTCGCTTGTCGCGCTGTCAGTTGGGCGGACTGCAAAGTGTCGCCTTACGGCAGTCAAGTTGTGGCTGTCACACCCCCGCTACTACGTTCATGTCCACTGCTAACGGTTTATCTGCAACAGCTGCAGCGCCAGCCCCTCGCTCCCCATCCTAAAAATGTGCAGCTAAGTTGGCATCAAGTTGCTTCACGTTGACTGACTTGACTTTCATCATCAGAAAAAAAAGTGGAAAATTGAAAAGCGAAAAACGAAAGAAAATCAGTCAACAATCAAGATGAGAATGACGATGATGATGATTCCGCTCCTGTTGACTCGTTGTTGTTGTCACTTTCATTTGTTGAGCATTTAATTATTCGAAATAGCATCAGCCTCCGTTTCAAATTATCTAGACTTAGGATTCAATTGCCCAGCCAGGTACTGATCCCACGCTTCAAATTGAGCAGTGAAGGCTCATTTCATAGAACGGCATAATTGTCTATATATAGATATGAAATTGCTTTCATATTTGATTAGAAAAACTGCAAAGATTTCACAAGATATTGAACACAATACAAGTTACACTTTCAATTATGAAAATAATAATATATGTACGTAATAATAATGTGAAAAAATTGTTTTTGAAAATACTAAAATTATTTTTTATTTTAAGTAAATTATGATAATAATAAAAAATGAAATAGCAATCTAATACAATATTAGAGCAATTCTCAAAGAAAATCTTTAATAAAAAAAATATTTATATGTATATGCAAATTATAAATTATTAATAATATAATATAATATAATAAATATTGCGGATTTCTGTGTATATTGTGAAAACAGGATATCAAGCAGCGTCGCCACGCAGCAGAATCGAGCAATAGCTTCATATGGGAGCCCACAATTTAAGTAAATTATAATCAAGAGAGAGAGAGAGAGTGACAGAGAGTGGGAAGAGTGGGAGAGAGATAGCTGACACCTATGGGGCGGTAACGTCCCACAGAGTGGTCATCAGGTTTTATCTAAGTTTGGTGCAATGCAATTGCAACATGTTGCAGCAGCTCCAGCATATTGCCGTTTGCTCTAGCAGATGCTGATGTTGCTCTAGCTTCCCCACAAGGGAGAGAGTGAGAGAGAAAGAGAGAGCGAGAAAGAGAGAAAGATAGATAGAAGAATAGAGTGTACAACTGACAGCTTGGCTACAAGTGACGGCGATAAAATGTTGGGACGTTCGCTGCCATATGACATGATTTTTTAGCTCTGATTTGGCATCAACTTCAGCTGAAGAACTTGCCGCAGGATAACGACGACTGCATGCAAACTATATGCAACAACAACAACAATGGGCGAAAACTTTTCTTTTTGCTAGCCCGCAACCGTTGCCCAGAAACACAGCCACTGAAACAAACCCGCACCCACACACACTCGCCTTGGCCAAGCTTCCATTGCTTAGCCAACAACGTGGCAACGTCTTGAGGCATTTCGACTCCTCTTTTGCTGCAGCTGCCTGCTTTTTATTTAGTTTCCTCTCTTCTTCCTTTTTGTTTGCTTGACTAGGACGGGTACGTTACGCCCTTGTCCTGCGCCTGTATACAGCTGGCTGCGATTTCTACACACGCTGCTCGTCATTTCGTCTGCTCGTCTGCTCGCTCGGCATCCTGTTTGTGCGTGTTGCATTTTATTTGTGGCATAAAATAGGGTTTTAGTGGATTTTTTTGGCAAATGATTTTTGCTGCGGCCGTTAGTTACGCTTGCATAAACTTTAATTCTATTTCACAACACACCAAACGGAACAGAAAACTTGGCTAAAATGAAACGCATGTCAGCTTCTTGCCGTTCTACCGTTTTCAATAAATATGTCTTCCAAGATCTTAAAGTAATAAGAAATGACTGCCTTACTAAAGTCTTGACTAATGAGTGTTTTTTATATTACTAAGCCGATCACGATTCATGATAGAAATGCCAGATATTATTGAGTTGACGAAAATAATAAAAATATCCTATTGGTATTCTATACAATGCCATTGCATATTATAGAATAAACCCCATTATTGAAATGTCAAACTATGCACATTACGTATACGCTTTGCTGGCTCTGTTAAAAAGCTTGCGTCACAATTGAAATTCTGGCACACACTCAACATCGTCAAGTCAAAGTTGAACAAAACGACACAAAAATACCAATTGAAAAATGAAAAGGAATGCAGTGGAATACACACATATACATACGCACACACACACACACACACACAAACGGAATGTCAGTTGCGGCAGCTGTGCGGCCACGTGAAGTACCTGGCCCAAATCCGGCTTCAACTTAATCCCGGTGCTTGGCATTGCTTTGGATCAACGCCGACAACTACAACTGATGTTGATAATCACAATGATGCTGATGAATACGATGATGATGATGATGATGATGATGATATGGAGACCGACTAACGTTGACAATGATGCCTTTGAAAGCACTTTTCGTAGCATTATGTGGCAGCGCCATGCAGGCTAAAGTTCGGGCTTTACCTCACGCTTCTGCAACGACGACAGCGACGTCGACGACGACGACTTCAAATGCTTTTGGGCTGACAATCAAAAAGTCATCAAATATGAATTTTACGCTAAAATTTTTCACCTGTGCATGTGCAAGTGCCATTTTTATGGCTTTTCCCATAGCCAAGACAGGCCAGAGTCTTTGGCACGTCTTTCCACTGAATTGCACTTTTGTGCATTGCAGGAGTGGCACAACATCTGCGCCTCTATATGTGAACCTCTGTACATGTACTTATGTTGTTGGGACTTGCCGTTTAGACGATCACATTGTACATTCATCTGTATCTGTATCTGTATCTGTATCTGTATCTGTATCTGTATCTGTATCTGTATCTGTATCGGTATCTGTATCTGTATCTGTATCTGTATCTGTATCTGTATCTGTATCTGTATCTGTATCTGTATCTGTATCTGTATCTGTATCTGTATCTGTATCTGTATCTGTATCTGTATCTGTATCTGTATCTGTATCTGTATCTGTATCTGTATCTGTATCTGTATCTGTATCTGTATCTGTATCTGTATCTGTATCTGTATCTGTATCTGTATCTGTATCTGTATCTGTATCTGTATCTGTATCTGTATCTGTATCTGTATCTGTATCTGTATCTGTATCTGTATCTGTATCTGTATCTGTATCTGTATCTGTATCTGTATCTGTATCTGTATCTGTATCTGTATCTGTATCTGTATCTGTATCTGTATCTGTATCTGTATCTGTATCTGTATCTGTATCTGTATCTGTATCTGTATCTGTATCTGTATCTGTATCTGTATCTGTATCTGTATCTGTATCTGTATCTGTATCTGTATCTGTATCTGTATCTGTATCTGTATCTGTATCTGTATCTACCTTGTGCTTTTTTATACTCAGCATTTTTGTATACTCATTCACGAAAACGACTTGAGTATATTGGCTTTGTGCAATGTACGCCTTGTTACCATTTGGGACGTACTCGTGACCCCCAGAGGGGCGTGGAAGATTAATCCGGTATCTTAGAAATCATGGAAATTGAAGTGCTAACCTTTGAGTATACTTATTATATATGTATACTACCGTTGATAACACAATTTCAATTCAATTTTTTTTTTTTTTTTAATTTTTATAATAAAAGTTAAACCAAATAACTCTTATTTTTAAGTTTTATTAAATAAATTGAATATAAGAGTTATGATTTGATTTTTTAATAAACATTGATCTGTAATAATTATTTTTTATTTTTATCATAAAACTAATTTTAATAATTAAAGGTAAAAACAAAAAAGAATTCTAATTTTTTAATTTTTGTGCTATAAAAGTTGTAGTTGTTACGCTCCCTGATATATATATATATATATATATATATATATATATATATATGTGTATATGTGGTAGCATTTTGGGCGTGAATGAGTATACTACTGTCGCTAATGCCCGACTGCAATGTCGTTACTTGTTTTATACACCATTTGGCTAACTCACAAAATAGCTGGCGCCTGCAGTCTGCCAAACTCAAACCAACTGTGGCGCTCGTCATATTCGTCGCAGCCGTTGTTGCTGTCATTGCCGGCGCCATGGTTAACAGATCTTAGCCAGACACGGACACTGGGCTCTAGGTCACTGATGTGCGTGAATCTGTATGTGAGTGTTTGTGTGTGTGTCGTTGTCGTCGCGTGCGAAGTTTGTCAGGGTAGTCGCAAAAATGGCATTGTGTGCTGCCATGAAATGGTTCTTAAATATTTCTGCCAGCCCAACTATATCAAATACGGCTATCTCATGTATTTGTATATACATAAGTATGTATATGAAAATATAAAAATTATTCAAATAAATATATGTGTATTAGTATATATACATATATATGTCGTATCAGTTCGATATTAGACTGCTGTTGAAGTTGCAATTTGATATCTTGATATCGTGTTAATCGATTGATTTAGAATTGTAGCGCAATTAAAGGATGCACTGTCACTCAGAGAGAGACAACAATAGCTGTTGCTGAACGTGGTTCCGGGCGTCGCTGGGTGAGAGCGAGACGGCTAGTTATGTCGTTCGCAGTAGGGTTGCTGTGCTTTCGATGAACAAGAATATGGGACCAAGAATATGGGACCATTATATAAATATATATATATATATATATATTATATACATAATCGAAGTTCATATGCGTCAGAGTCAGAAAATGGAGATAGCGCCATGTAAAAATCGTAAAAAGATTTATGACGCATTCCAAGCAAAGACGCGGAGACAGCGCGGAGACATTTGTAAATAAAGCACGTCAACCCGTGCAAGCTCAAAAGTTGCGTGCGAAAAGTGCTTTGGAAGAGAAACTCCTGCCAAAGTTTATAACTAAAATAGCATTAAGATAGATAGAGCAGTAAATGGCAATAAATCGAATAGATGACTTCGAGTCGTAGCAGTCGGGGTGATGACTGTTATTGGCTAATGAAGCACACGTGTGTCTAAAATCTTGCGACGGCACTTGCCTGATGCATCCAACCCTTTTTCCTAAAATTTGCCGAAATGTCACATAAAACTTATCATGCGTAATTGCCTCTGTTTCTATACTCATTCACGAAAGTGAATTAGTATATTGCTTTTGTGCAATGCCCGTCTTGCTGTCCGTCCGTCTATCCGACTGTCCGTCCGTCCGTATGAGTGCGTCGATCTCAGAAGATACAAAAGCTAGAGAGCTGAAATTTAGCATGCATACTTGTGTGTCCCATACGCAGTACAAGATTATCATATTTTTTCGATAACTCATCCAAGAAGAATCGAAAAATTGATTTTGTTTTTTCAGACTAATTCGAACATTTGTAGACCGAGAGACTTCAGATTACTGTGCATATAACACAATCACAACACAATATAACACAATTGATCGACACAAAGATTTTGTAATTTACAGATTTTGAATACCACGCTCTCTTCGCCGCCAATTTGTAAGAAACGTATTTCAAGTACTAGAGACTTGTGTTTTGGAATGTATACACAATTTGATCACGCCCTGAAAATATTCATTTTGAAATACTCATTTTACAAATATGTGGGTGAGGGGATGAATTAGGGGTGGAGGGTAAATTTTGACAAAAATCGAAATTCCATAAATTGCATATAAATCTACATTAGATAACTCTAGCTTTAAAGATGTAGCAGACATAAATTTTTTACTGTTTTTCGATAATGTTTTTAATCGATAACAAAATAACGCAAGCTATCGATTTTTAAAGCTAAGCTCGATGTGGTATACACGGACCTAGCTCTCTAGCTCTTATATCTTCGGAAATCGACGCGTTCAAACATACGGACAGACGGACAGATGGACAGGGTTATATCGACTGAGCTCGTCGCGCTGATCAAGAATATACATACTTTGTGGGGTTTGCCACGCATCCTTCTACCTGTTATATACTTTTCACAAAACCATTATACCCTGATTTCCCATTTTCAATGGGTTCAGGGTATAAAAAACAAAAATAACTAAAAATACCTTTGTCGCGACTGCTCACCTACGAATCTCAAATCTTCTGAAACAGCTGACATTCCAGCATCTGAAAAAATTCTATGGTTCTCATACATACAAATATACATATGTATGTACGTACATACGTCTGTCCTAGCAAAACCTAGTGGAGCTGGAAACTTCAGATTTACGTGGGGCTATTAACTGTCTGATATTGCGCTATACTTATTTGATGCAGTATGGAAAAAACCCACTTCACATTTTCCATTAACGGTAATTTTTATTTCTCATTTGAGCCAAATTCCACTTGATATCGGAGCAGAATTAATTTTCGAACTAATTAAATTTAACATTTCATGCAAATCAACGCTACGGAACATTGTTTTAGTGTCCTCATCCTTTCCGTGTGTCTCTTTATTAGTTTTCCCATCCTCTTGTTAACTATTCATCTATCGGAGCTAATTCCTCGCCCTTGTCTATACTCATCTTGCCCAGGCTCATATTGCGGAATTTCACATACAAAGCCCTTGCCGAATACAAGATGACTGCACCTGCTGTAAGCCAATAATTGCTCTGTAGAATGTCCACTCCAGCTGTGGTTGCAACAGGTGCTGCTGGTGCCGGTGCTGGTGCTGGTGCTGGTGCTGGTGCTGGAGCGCCGGGAGCGGGGGTGGGGGCGGCGTCATCACCCATTTTGTATACCTTCCCATTGTGAACGAATTCTATTTATTGACATCAATATTTATAAATCATCAAATTTAACTTACTTAAGTCAAAAGCTCGTTATATGAAAGCTGAAAAATAGTCGACGACTTTTTGGGAAAAACTTCGAAATAATGGAAAAATCAAATAATTTTAATATGAGATTCAAATTTGAAGAATTTTGTAAAATTGTTTTGTGTTGCTTTCAGATCGAAGCACTGAACAGGAATGATGATTTATTCTCAGTTCAGTAAGAGGGTCAAAAACTATTGGCCGTCGCCTACTTGAGTCCATTTCTATTCCAACAAATATCAGAGCGAACTAGTTGAAGTATCAATCAAAATGACATGAAATACAGTAAGACTGCTCTATTCGAGACTGCTCGATTTAGAGGTAACCTGAACTCTGCAAAGAAATGATATTCCAATCATACTGCACTTTTTTGATACACACACGTACATACTAATACACATTCTAATATTTGAATGTTGAATACTAATGATTGATTGATTGTGTGTATATTCCAAAGCAAAATCTCTAGTACTTGAGAATTACGAGATCTACAAATTGTTAGCGAATTCAGCGTAATTCCAATAATTACAGATTTATTGTGTATATACATTTGATGAATACAAATATTTTATTATTTACAGATTTTGGATACCACGCCCCCTTCGCCAACCAATTTGTACAAAACGCATTTAAAGTTGTACAAACTTGTGCTTTGGAATGTACACAAATTTGAATATTATGATTACATGCTGAAAGTTTTATTAAGATAGTTTAACTACAAGAGAAATTATTCAACAAGTAAATTCTCACACTAGTGCCCACACTGCAGCGCAGCTCAAGCGCCGTCGCTACTTTATTCAGAAAATTTTTAAAAAGAACAAGTAAGAAGACTCTAGTCGAGACTGCTCGACTAGGAGATACCCTGAACCCTCCAATCTGATATTCTAATCAGTGTGCACTTCTTTTCGGCACTCATACATACACACGCACTCATACATACGCGCTCTGCTAACTGTGCAATAAGCAGCGACTGCGCTTGGGCTGCGCTGCAGTGTGAGCAACATTATAAGAATTTATTTGTTGAATAATTTAATTTCTAGACGTACAATCTTAATGAAACTTTCAGAACATAATCATAATAAAAAATGTATGTATATTCTAAAGCACAAGTCTCTAGTATTTGAAATACGCTTTTTACAAACTAGCTTTCGATAAGGTTTTTAATCGATAATAAAATATCGAGAGTAATTATTGATATTTAGAGAAAACTTGATATGCGCGTGATATACACGGACCTATGAAAAAAAAAATTTCAAGTCTCTAGCTCTTATATCTTCTGAGATCGACGCCTTCATACATACGGACGGACGGACAGACAGACGGACAGGGCCAGTTCGATTCAACTCGTCAAGAATATATACACTTTGTGGGGTCTGCCACGCCTCCTTCTGCCTGTTACATACTTTTAACAAAACCATTATACCCTGATTTCCCATTTTCAATGGGTTCAGGGCATAATAGGCAATAATAATATCAGCGAGCCTAGTAGGTAACTACGAAATATTTTATGGACCCCTCCTGAACAGAGATTCGGATCCTCAGTTCTTATTTATATCCAAAAGCAAAAGAAACAAATTTAATACAAATATAAATTTTCTAAATTCGAAAAGAAAAATATTTTGTTCAGTTACATTAATTGACGGGTTTTGTCGCAAGTAAGTAAAATTGAAAATCAATCAATATAAAGCGATAGTAATAACGATAATGCATTCACCATCGGAAGCTATTCAAAATGTCAGACTCGGATGTGAATAACTATTTACCAGCTGCACTTAAAGCTGCTGCTGGTGGAAATATGCTGCAATGCAATAATTGGCTTACGGGCGGCGCTGTTGTTCTATATTTAACTGCGGCTTTGTATATCGAATTCCGCAAGATGAGCCTATTCAAGAAAAGCCCGGGCAAGGCAACCCTGGAATTCTAATTCCAAAGCACCGATAGATAAATAGCTAACAACTAGCAAGAGAACGGGAATACAAATAATTACACGATTTTAAAAAGCAGGGAAGACATTTTCAGTATGCAACCCGATAAAAAGATGCCAGAATCCTGAATGATCTAGATTATTAAATATACGCAATTATGTGTTTATCAAACTACTTAGCTTATTTGTTTGCGAGAGATAAACACATACCTACGGTTCTTCTCATGGGGTATTAAAATGTAGCTTTGTAACAAGCAAGTAGGCATAGATATAAAAATTTTCGACTTTACTTCGATTAGTTCGCTCTGATATTTGTAGTAGGCGAGGCCAATCATTTCATCATCATTTCTATTCAGTACCTCAGTCTGAAAGTAACACAAAACAATTTTACAAAATTCTTCAAATTTGAATCTCATATAAAAATTATTTGATTTTTCCATTATTTCAAAGTTTTTCCCAAAAAGTCGTCGACTATTTTTCAGCTTTCATATAACGAACTTTTGACTTAAGTAAGTTTAATTTGATGTTTTATAAATATTGATGTCAATAAATAGAATTCGTTCACAATGGGAAGGTATACAAAATGTTTGATGCCCCCGCCCCCACCCCCGCTCCCGGCGCTCCAGCACCAGCACCAGCACCAGCACCAGCACCGGCACCAGCAGCACCTGTTGCAACCACAGCTGGAGTGGACATTCTACAGAGCAATTATTGGCTTACAGCAGGTGCAGTCATCTTGTATTCGGCAAGGGCTTTGTATGTGAAATTCTGCAATATGAGCCTGGACAAGATGAGTTCAGACACGGCAGGCCTGGGCAAGGGCGAGGATTCTAATACCAAGGACTAGCTCAAGTAGATAAATAGTTACAAGCGAAAGGATTCGAATACACAAATAAATACAAGAAAAAAAAAAATACTTTCGGAAGTCAGCTTTGAGGTGTTGGAGTGCTTGCGATTTAAGGGGGTTGCAAATTAATTTCAACACTATCTTCTACCCAAGGATCATACACATAATAATCACTTAAATGATTGCTGTTGTCTAATTGTTTAATTCGTAGTTTGTGCTTTGACAAGTGAGGTGCTTAGAAAAATAAATTGACATTAACGTTTCATATATCCATCGCAATTTTTACACTATTAATCATCCCATCAGCAATTTAGTAGCTAAGTGTAGCTCTAATACTGTAGAGACCCTATTGGGCATAGACACCTCAATTTGGCCAATTCTTAGAATGAGCTGAACGTAACTTAGCTGCTTACGCTCCGAAAATGTGAAAATTACAGGGTATTTTTCGATATGCCACGCCTCTAAAGATTCGTAAACGTTATTTTTGGCTCTTCGTTTGGTTACTAGCAACTTAACTATTCAAATTTGAAGCTTCTAGCTCTTATAGTTCGGGAGATATAAACTTTTGCGATTTGCCACGCCTCTGTGGGACATATACACATATGTGCGAAAGTTATTTAATTATATCACCTTTAGATATCGAGCTTCCAAATTTTAAATGTAGACTTTTATGTATTTTATATAATTTCGATTTTTGTTATACTTTATCACTCACCCCTATATTCACCCCTTCACCCACACCTTTGTAAATGGCGTGTTTCAAATACTAGAGACTTGTGGTTTGGCAAATAAACGCACTTTAATGTTATATTAGCGACCTGATTATATGAGCATAGTTCATCAATAAGAAAAGTTATTAAACAATTAAATTTCCATAGTAAGCCCACACTGCTGCCAATGCGTGTTTATGCTTGCATCCTTATGTATGACTTATTGTATGAATTATTGTGAAATATCAATTCTACGAAGGGTTCCGGGGATATCGCTTTTCAACTAATATGCTTTCTGGTATATCGGAAAATGAGTTTTCCGATTGCCACGCCCCCAGTGGGCTGATCGGGAAAATTTTAACAGTTTATAAATCGGATATATACACGAGTATGTGTGCCACATAAATAACTTCAATAGCACCGAAATAAACTGTGTTCATACGGGCAGATGAACAGTCGGACAGACGGATGGACGGGCAAGACGGGCATTGCACAAAACCAATATACTCATTTTACTTTCGTGAATGAGTATATATGTGTATTCCTGCCAAGGCAAACGTTATCGTTTGAAATCGTAATTGCAGTTCATTTGCAAAATTGCATATCGCCTTATGAGTTAGTCTAAAAATGTTACATTTAGTTTCATGCATAAAATTTTTAATTTTTATTATACGATATTCTGGATGCCATGCTTCATACTAATCCGTTGCAAATATGGACAATATAAAGAAAATTTACTAACGTGGCAGCAGCGCTATTTTTTATACGTATGTGTCGGTTATTAGATTAGATAACTTTGACGAGTGCAGCGTGTCCCTGCACGGCTGCCATTCTTCTTGCTACTTTAATTTTGTTCTTTCTAAGTAAACAGTAACAGAAAAGAAGTTTTCGATTTACAACTAATTGCTCGATCATTGAAATGCCGGTGTTGATGGAGGTACATTCTTTAATAATTCTGTTCGTTCTGTTGGACATCGTTTCTTATACCCTGAACTCATTGTAAATGGGAAATCAGGATATAATGGCTTTGTGAAAAAGTATGTAGCGGCAGAAGGAATCATTGCAGACCCCACAAAGTATATATATTCTTGATCAGCACGACGAGCTGAATCAATACAGCCCCGTCCGTCCGTCCGTATGAGTGCGTCGACCACAGAAGTTATAAGAGCTAGAGAACAGAGTATCTCCTACTAGAGCCTTCTTATTTGTTTAATAATAAATGTTATGCATTTGGAAAGGTGTAAGGTGCGGCTTCCCCGACTATAATTTTCTTACTTGTTTCATAGGAAGAAATTTTACAAAACTTTACTTTCCTTTCATAAAAGTAAGTGTTTATAGGGAACAAGTGTTCTTGTATGCCCGAATAGTCAATGCTGAGACGTCAGGGCTAATAGTTTTTGCAATGTTTGCATCTATTAATACGCAGAATTTTTCAGCTATTCAAGCTGGAGACTTCCACGTCTTTTTGCTTTTTGGCTTACTTCAATTATTTTATTCAATTATTTTTTGAAAACAATAATAAATAATAATATCAGCGAGCATAGTAGGCAAATGCTAAATATTTTATGAGCCCCTCCTGAACGGAGATTCGGATTCTCAGTTCTTATTTATATCCAAAAGCAAAAGAAACAAATTTAATACAAATATAAATTTTCTAAATTCGAAAAGAAAAATATTTTGTTCAGTTACATTAATTGACGGGTTTTGTCGCAAGTAAGTAAAATTGAAAATCAATCAATATAAAGCGATAGTAATAACGATAATGCATTCACCATCGGAAGCTATTCAAAATGTCAGAATCGGATGTGAATAACTATTTACCAGCTGCACTTAAAGCTGCTGCTGGTGGAAATATGCTGCAATGCAATAATTGGCTTACGGGCGGCGCTGTTGTTCTATATTTAACTGCGGCTTTGTATATCGAATTCCGCAAGATGAGCCTATTCAAGAAAAGCCCGGGCAAGGAATTCTGGAATTCTAATTCCAAAGCACCGATAGATAAATAGCTAACAACTAGCAAGAGAACGGGAATACAAATAATTACACGATTTTAAAAGTATGCAACCCGATAAAAAGATACCAGAATCCTGAATGATCTAGATTATTAAATATACGCAATTATGTGTTTATCAAACTACTTGCTTATTTGTTTGCGAGAGATAAACACATACCTACGGCTCTTCTGATGGGGTATTAAAATGTAGATTTGTAACAAGCAAGTAGGCATAGATATAAAAATTTTCGACTTTACTTCGATTAGTTCGCTCTGATATTTGTAGTAGGCGAGGCCAACTAGTTTTATACTCTCTTTCTGAACGTAGAGTAAATCATCATTTCTATTCAGTACCTCAGTCTGAAAGTAACACAAAACAATTTTACAAAATTCTTCAAATTTGAATCTCATAAAAAATATTTGATTTTTCCATTATTTCGAAGTTTGTCCCAAAACATACACACATAACATAACACATTTCATATAGCGAACTTTTGACTTAAGTAAGTTTAATTGGCTGTTTTATAAAGATTGATGTCAATAACTACAATTCGTTCACAATGGGAAGGTATTCAAGATGCCAGATTTACAATCACTAGCATCATCTGCAGCACAGGTAGCAACAGATGCGATGACAGTAGGTGCAACTATGAAATCTGGAGTGGACATTCCACAGAGTAATTATTGGTTTACAGCAGGTGCAGTCGTCTTGTATTCGGCAAGAGCATTGTATACGAACTTCAGCAATATGAGCCTTAACAAGAGGATGGTAAAACTAATAAAGAGACACACGGAAAGGATGAGGACACTAAAACATTTTTTTATACCAATGATTTTTATCATATATTAAAATTAATTAGTTCGAAAATTTATTCTGCTCCGATAGAGAACGAATAAGTAAGAAGGCTCTAGGCGAGACTGCTCGACTAGGAGATAGCCTGAACCCTCTAAGCTGATATTGAATTCATTCTGCACTTCTTTTATGCACTTTTATGCATGCATCCACTCCCGCGCAGAAGCCCGCGCTCTGCTAACTGCTCAGTATGCCGCGACTGCGCTTGGGCTGCGCTGCAGTGTGGGCAATATTATGAGAATTTACTTGTTGAATAATTTCTCTTGCGGTTGGACTATCTTCATGAAAGTTTAAGAACATATGGTTAAAATGTGTGTACATTCCAAAGCACAAGTCTCGAGTAATTGAAATACGTTTTTTATAAATTGGTGGGAAAAGGGAGCGTGGTATTAAAAATCTTTAAATTACAAAATCTTCGTATTCATCAAATGTATATACAATATACAGTAAATCTGAGGTCTCCAGGTCTAAAAGTGTTTAAATTAGGCTGAAGAAACAATATCAATTTATCGATTAAAAGATTAAAAAAAATCGGATGAGTTATCGAAAAAAAAAATTGGTAAAACGTGTGCTGCGTATGTTATACACGAGTATGCATGCAAAACTTCAGATCTCTAGCTCTTATAACTTCTGAGATCTCGGCGTTCATACGGACAGGCGGACGGACGGACTGGCAGACGGACAGGACTATATCGACTCAGCTCGTCGCCCTGATCAAGAATATATAATTTATGGGGACTGAGATAATTTCTTCTGCCTGTTACGTACTTTTCACAAAACCATTATACCCTGATTTCCCCATTTTCAATGGTTTCAGGGTATAAAAACAACTGCAGAATACTTATTCACATCGCATCAGCAATTTAGTCGCTAAGTTTAGTTGTAATACTGTAGAAAATGCTTTTTTTTCCGAATTGACACGCCCTAATGGGCTTAATATTTTGAGCACTATTGATGTAGAGACTTGAAAGTCCAAAAAGCTATGGCAGATATATGTTCGCCCACAGGGGCAATAGTTTATATCTCCTACAGTTTAGGAGCTAGAAGTTTTAAATTTGGATAGTTGAGTTGGTGGTAGCCTCACACACTTTTATGGCGTGGCATATCGAAAAATACCCTGTAATTTTAACATTTTCGGAGCGTAAGCAGCTGAGACATTGAGGGGTCTATGCTTAATAGGGTTGGGCAAATAAGCGAAAAGTCTTTACAGTATTAGAGCTACACTTAGCTACTAAATTGCTGATGGGATGATTAAAAGTGTAAAAATTGCGATGGATATATGAAACGTTAATATTGTCAATTTATTTTTTTAAGCACCTCACTTGTCAAAGCACAAACTACGAATTAAACAATTAGACAACAGCAATCATTTAAGTGATTATTATGTGTATGATCCTTGGGTAGAAGATAGTGTTGAAATTAACTTGCGACCCCCTTAAATCGCAAGCACTCCAACACCTCAAAGCTGACTTCCGAAAGTATTTGTTTTTTTTTACTTGTATTCATTTGTGTATTCCCATCCTTTCGCTTGTAACTATTTATCTATCGGAGCTAATTCCTCGCCCTTACCCAGGCCTGCCGTGTCTGAACTCATCTTGCCCAGGCTCATATTGCGGAATTTCACATACAAAGCCCTTGCCGAATACAAGATGACTGCACCTGCTGTAAGCCAATAATTGCTCTGTAGAATGTCCACTCCAGCTGTGGTTGCAACAGGTGCTGCTGGTGCCGGTGCTGGTGCTGGTGCTGGTGCTGGTGCTGGAGCGCCGGGAGCGGGGGTGGGGGCGGGGGCATCAAACATTTTGTATACCTTCCCATTGTGAACGAATTCTATTTATTGACATCAATATTTATAAATCATCAAATTTAACTTACTTAAGTCAAAAGCTCGTTATATGAAAGCTGAAAAATAGTCGACGACTTTTTGGGAAAAACTTCGAAATAATGGAAAAATCAAATAATTTTAATATGAGATTCAAATTTGAAGAATTTTGTAAAATTGTTTTGTGTTACTTTCAGACTGAGGTACTGAATAGGAATGATGATTTATTCTACGTTCAGATCTCTAGCTCTTATAACTTCTGAGATCTCGGCGTTCATACGGACAGGCGGACGGACGGACTGGCAGACGGACAGGACTATATCGACTCAGCTCGTCGCCCTGATCAAGAATATATAATTTATGGGGACTGAGATAATTTCTTCTGCCTGTTACGTACTTTTCACAAAACCATTATACCCTGATTTCCCCATTTTCAATGGTTTCAGGGTATAAAAACAACTGCAGAATACTTATTCACATCGCATCAGCAATTTAGTCGCTAAGTTTAGTTGTAATACTGTAGAAAATGCATTTTTTTTCCGAATTGACACGCCCTAATGGGCTTAATATTTTGAGCACTATTGATGTAGAGACTTGAAAGTCCAAAAAGCTATGGCAGATATATGTTCGCCCACAGGGGCAATAGTTTATATCTCCTACAGTTTAGGAGCTAGAAGTTTTAAATTTGGATAGTTGAGTTGGTGGTAGCCTCACACACTTTTATGGCGTGGCATATCGAAAAATACCCTGTAATTTTAACATTTTCGGAGCGTAAGCAGCTGAGACATTGAGGGGTCTATGCTTAGTAGGGTTGGGCAAATAAGCGAAAAGTCTTTACAGTTTTAGAGCTACACTTAGCTACTAAATTGCTGATGGGATGATTAATAGTGTAAAAATTGCGATGGATATATGAAACGTTAATATTGTCAATTTATTTTTCTAAGCACCTCACTTGTCAAAGCACAAACTACGAATTAAACAATTAGACAACAGCAATCATTTAAGTGATTATTATGTGTATGATCCTTGGGTAGAAGATAGTGTTGAAATTAACTTGCGACCCCCTTAAATCGCAAGCACTCCAACACCTCAAAGCTGACTTCCGAAAGTATTTGTTTTTTTTTTACTTGTATTCATTTGTGTATTCCCATCCTTTCGCTTGTAACTATTTATCTATCGGAGCTAATTCCTCGCCCTTACCCAGGCCTGCCGTGTCTGAACTCATCTTGCCCAGGCTCATATTGCGGAATTTCACATACAAAGCCCTTGCCGAATACAAGATGACTGCACCTGCTGTAAGCCAATAATTGCTCTGTAGAATGTCCACTCCAGCTGTGGTTGCAACAGGTGCTGCTGGTGCCGGTGCTGGTGCTGGTGCTGGTGCTGGTGCTGGTGCTGGAGCGCCGGGAGCGGGGGTGGGGGCGGGGGCATCAAACATTTTGTATACCTTCCCATTGTGAACGAATTCTATTTATTGACATCAATATTTATAAATCATCAAATTAAACTTACTTAAGTCAAAAGCTCGTTATATGAAAGCTGAAAAATAGTCGACGACTTTTTGGGAAAAACTTCGAAATAATGGAAAAATCAAATAATTTTAATATGAGATTCAAATTTGAAGAATTTTGTAAAATTGTTTTGTGTTACTTTCAGACTGAGGTACTGAATAGGAATGATGATTTATTCTACGTTCAGAAAGAGAGTATAAAATTAGTTGGCCTCGCCTACTACAAATATCAGAGCATATCTACGCCTAATCGCTTGTTGCGAGATTTTTAGAATCAAAATTACATTTTAATACCCGAAGTATAATGCGAAATCAGGATATATTGTCCAATACAGAAGTTTAAGATGTATGTTGCGGAGTCCGTAATACGGACAGGCGTGGTAGACTTCAAAAAGTGAATATATTCTTGATCAGTCGATTTAACTTTATACGTCCGTCTGTCTGCCCGTATGGCAATTTATGAAGAGCCTTACGTACGTTCTTATCTCGCGCACATCGTTTCTAACAAGGCCTATTTAATGATAATGTCACAAAATTGAACGGTGCGGAATAATTTCTTTTTTGCCACAAATAAGTTCAGCATTTTAATAAACATATAACTGCGAATATTTTAAAATCCAGATCATTCAGGATATGGTTATCTTATTGTTTTATTTCTTGTTTTATTAGGAATACAAGTATTTTCTTACTGGTTAGTAATTGATAGTTTAACTGTGGAGCAGATTATATTTCTTATATTGTTATGGATGATATAATTACGTTACCATATACCATCATAACATGCCACAAGCATGCCTGAACGCTGAACGTTCACTGTTCACTTATTATACTCTGAACCCAGAGAAAATAGGAAGCCCGGGTATAATGTTTTGTGAAAATGTATGTAGCAAGCGGAAGGAGGCGTGGCAAACCCCACTCGTGTTTACTATACGCAGCGCAAGTTTACCATATTTTTTCGATAACCCGTTCCTTTTTCATCGACAATAATCGATAATTTCATATAGTTCTTTTTAGCCCTATTTGATTACTGTTAGAGCATGAGACTTTGAATTTACTGTGTAGAGGATGAATGTAAAGATGTTATTTATTATTTATTTATTCGTTGACTGATAATAATATCAGCTCTTTGCTGGACTAAGGTCATCTTTAGGTCATCTTAAGCTAAGTCGGCATAGTTCTTAGTAAATATATTCCTTATACAATTTTTCATACCCTTCATCAATAGAAAGTATTTAGGTGCATCGTTAGCATTGAATCCGTTGGATACCCTTTCTTATTCTAATATCTGTACAAAAATGTTGGGGAAAGAGTATTATTCGATTTGGTGCATTGGTTTATAAACTTGTTTATACGCAGATCGATTTCTCGCACGTCATTTTCCTTAAGTTTTTCATTTTTCAATCGAAGTCAAGATTGCTTTGCTCTTGCTTTCGTCAGTTTGTCACACACACACACACGAAACCACTCAAACACAATTGCCAGCACTAATACAAGCACACCCTTATTCATACACAATAAACGCGCTTTTGGCATTATTACTTGCGCTAACGGCGGCCAGAGTACAATCGATAATTATGATGTCAGCTTGGCTGTTGTTGTTGCTGTAGTTATTGTTGCAGTTGCTGTTATCGTCATCGGCTACCTCGATAATATGCAGCTAACCGACCCCAACCTGCAGTGCAGCTGGCAACCAGCGACGCGGCTCTACCGATCTCATGTAATATTTGCCCACAATTATTGCGACACCGCGCGTCAATATTGTTGTTGCTTTTCTCGTTGTAGTTGCTGTTGTTGTTGTTGTTGCGGTTGCATGCTGCATGTTGCAAAATAATAGTTTCGCTTTCGCTATCGGTGGCAAACAGAGACAGCCGGAGTTAGGCTTCGCTCTTCATTATGCGGATCGCACTGAATTGTGAGTCATTTGGAGCAAAAGCGGGCGCAGCGGATGCAATCTACAATGATTATGGCTAACGGGTTTATGGCTACACTATGCATGGCTAGAGGGGAACGGGAAGAGGTTGAAACGTGTGCATGAGATTCCAGCATTTGCTACCTAACCTGGTTAGTTTTGCCTGTCCCAGCATTAGGGGTCTTTGCTCTGTCCACTGTGTCGCCTTTAGCCGCTGTTTACCATTCTATGGCTTCAGTTGCTCAAAACATTTGATGGCTATTGGCGTTTGCGTTGTGTAGTCTAAACACATGATTTATCAAGAAGTACTCCACCATATTATATAGATATAATTTGTTATATTATACGTAGTTTCAGTCAGGCATAAGCTCGCCAGAATTTGTATTTAACCAGTTTATTGTCAGCTTGTGGCTTCGGCATATTTTACATTATTCAAATTAGCTTTAAGTGAAAACTTTTTCGTTTAAAGTTTTAATAATACGGAAAAGAAAACAGCCGCATGCCACCACCCAACGCAACCCAACCAACGTAGGCAAGGTTCGCTTCCTCCGCTCAAAAGTTCTCCAACCATTAATTGGACCTTTCTTGGGGCATGCAGAGCCAAAGAACAAATGAGCAAAGGATTAAAAAAGTTTGTCGCCTGTCTGTCGTCATGTTTTTGTTGACGTTACCCAAAGGATACTTCGAATCTCTTAGCACGTTTGTACAGCATAATTGCTTCCATTATATATACTATATTATATTTATATTAATAATACCTCTATTATTCCATTATTGCGATTCTTACATATTTATAAACAATACATAAAATACTATCCAAAAATGTGAAAGAAACTTTTAGCCTTCGGAAAGTGAACTGTAAGTCTGTGGATTGTTCGGATAGAGTATGTTGAGACAAGAGGCTCTCTCATTCATGTATTACAGCTGTTCGTGTTGTGCGTTATATTTCTTGGCTGTTGAATTCAATTTAAATTTAATTACTTCAAATGCCAACTGAAATGGTGAGTGAGGTATGGCTGGTGCGTATGGGTCTGGCATTTGCAGTGGGGCATGCACTGTGGCTAATGAGCCAAGTCGGCTGGCTGCCAAGCCGCTGTCAATAAGTTGATGTTCCGCATTTCGTTTGGCAATCTGTCATTTAGACAGTCTATCATTTGCTCAGTGAATTTCGCCAGCACAACGCAATGCGCTTTAATTGTATTTAGCATAATTTATGTGCTCTGTGTCTGCAGCTCGGCGTATTGCAGTGGCTCTGGCTCTGGTTTCTTTGAGTGTGAGATTTACTTGCAGAGTTTCGCCTTAGTTCCCTCGGCCCTGGCTCAATGCCGCTGCGCTTAATCAGATCAACATTATTAGCAGAAGCGACAACAACCAGAATAGCAATGTTGACGGTTTCTGTCCTAGCACCCACAATAACACCCAATTATCCCGTTGAAGTGTATTCATCATCAGCCTCAAAGACTTTTAGCTTTTTGAATTTATTGTCACTGGATTGGAATTTTAAAATTAGCAGCAAAAGAAAAATGTTTTCTTCAAAGGCTCAAAGCTAGTTGAGGGTAAATGACAAGGGCAAAATAACAAAAACGATTGCCATTAACTAACAATATAAATTTATTTATATATATGTATATATGAGATTTCAATTGCATTCAAGGTATCAAGAAATTGCAGTGTTTAAATATCAACTTAAATTTGTCTTTAAGCATCGCCCATTCAGCTAGGTAAAGCGAATTACAATGGTAGCATCAAGTTAACCCTGGGCCGGAAATGCCAGCGGATAGTAGATGAAAGACGAGGGGCGCAAACTGCCATCGTTGAAGCCAAAGTGTGAAAATGGTAAAAGTGTCGGGCGCGACGGGAAGGCATCAGAAGGCGCAGCGGAGTCGACGGACGGGCAACATGTTGCCATCGTCTAGAAACTTACAAACATGACATTAAATGTTGCCCGTCTGTCGGGCCGAAAGCGCACAGACTGGAGCGGCTCAAGCGAGTGAGCAACGAGCAGCTCAAATGAAATCAAGACAAAACAGGTGAAAGACGCAGTGTAGCTAAGTAAAACTTTAGCCGCGACAGCGGCGTATTTTAGAAATGCGCAAAGTTGCGCATACGCCACATGGGTCCGGGCCATGGGGCACATCGTTTGCTACCTATGGGAATTTCATTTGTTGTTCATTTTTAAGCAGCTCGCGATTTGAATTTCCTTTTGCATTTATATGCAGCTTTATGAGCAACAGCAGCAGAAGCAGAAGCAGCAGCATCAACGAGTGAATCTCATGAGCAGCGCCGCAGTAAATTTACACAATGAAATCTTAAGCGCTCCCTCGGGGCCACAGGAACTTATCCGAGCCAGGCAAAAGTTTTGCTCACACGCACACACACACACACACACACACAGAAACGTACGACCGCATAACAAGAAAACACCTTGAATTTAGCGCTGCATAGTTGACTCCAGCACTTGAACAATGCCACATTTATATGCCCCCCAATACACACATATGTCTCAGAGCTGTTTGCTCGGGTTGGGGCCTGGAACGGTGCTCGCCATTTGACCGGAAGTTCGACAAAGTTCAAATTATATGCGTGTGTGTGTGTGTGTGTGTGTGCGTGTGCGTGTGCGTAAGCATGTATGGCCTGTTATTCATTCGTTTTTGCAAATAAATGAACCGTATACTAAAACAAACAAATTCAATTGAATCACTCTCCTGGGCATTACAATTGAATGTGCCCAACGAGCAAAACTCTATGGAAAACTCTATCGAACCAGATTTGGTTGGCGTCGCGTCGTCTGCACTTGAATATTCTTTGTTTTTCGTATTTTCTGTGCGTGTTTTGTTGCTGGCCGGTTGTCGTTGTTGTTGTTGTTGTTATTGTTGTAACTGCTTGTGTCCGCCGACCAAAGGAAAATCTAATGAAAATGTTCAATGTGTGTGGCAAGCACATAGAAAATCAGAAAAAGAAACTCTGCTCAAGAAGAAAGTCTACCAAACATTACACACACACACACATATATACATACACAGACACACATAAGCAATTGGGCAACTGGCTGCACTTGGCTGATTGTAACTTTTTGGCCATTTGGTTAGTTCAAGGGCAGCTACCAAATTTGCCAGCCACTTTTTGAATGCTTTACAATGGACTGATTGTAGTATGTCTGAAGTATCTTTGCATTTGCATCCAAGCTGCGAGGGCTTTGAGCTGGCTACCATAATTTCATTCACACCAACGACCGAGCTGGCAATAAACAAATTAGACTTTTCATTGTATATTCACTTTTGCTTTAATAGAAAATGGTTATTAATATTACTATTATTATTATTATAATTTTTTGTATTTT